TTGGTGATGGAACTAGTCCATATCCAGATTGTGATGGTGGTTATATGAATTTATACAGGGGGTTAAATGAATAGAATTGCACAATTTCCCCCTGAAAAGGGTCAACTTCGCTGAATGGTGATTTAAAAAAAAAAAATCCGAAATAAAAGCCCCATAGGAATAAAAAGGTATTAGTTTTAAAATAGAAGCTCAGAAGTGGAACAGCTTCTTCTGGGCTGGGGAAGGATTAAAGGTTTCATGAAAGATGAGGCATTTAAAAAATGTATGTTAGAGGTACAGCCTGTAATACTGGTTCACAATCCATCTTCTCTGATACTTTATATAATGAGGGCCAGGAACAATGTCTGCCTTGTTCGCCTCTAAGTAAGCAGTAACGAAAGCAGTGCTCTGCATGTATTAGGCACTCAATAAGTGTTTGATGAATTGATCTAATGCCTATGATATTAATAAGCATAGATAAAATAACAGGACGCTCTAGAGCAAATGAAAAACACAATACCTGAGATTTCCATCCTCCAGTCCGCCCTACTCTAAGTCCTTCCTACCCCTTCAAAGTCAAAGATGTAACTCATTCCTCTGATTTTTCCAGCCCACACTCACTTTTCCAACTTGTCCAAACTTGCTCTATCAAACTTAGTCTAACATTTTAGTGTAGTGCTTCTCAGTATTTTAAAGCCTCTGCTTCATTTCCTTTGTCATCAAAACATCCCCTTTTTATATAATTTAAAATTAAAAATACAATATATTGCATGACTAAGGATCAGTGAGTGGATTGGAGCTCTATCAAATAAATAAATAATTAACAGATCAAAGCACTACTTAGCTTCAAATTACACTTCCTTCAGTCTTCAAAAGAGATCCTCATCTGCCCCTAAATGCCTAAAATAGGCAAGCCTTCCCGCTCTCCTTTCTGTTGCCAGACCCTCACCACTAGGATAATGCTTAATGAGCAGCTTACTAACTTCAGATTTATTACAATTCCCGAATAGGCTAACGGGGCGCTCATTTCCTCAGTCCCCCCCCCCAGTCTTCTACTTCTTTATTATGATTAATACAGCATGTAATGGATACTTGCTCATTGGATATCAATATGTACCATTCCCCAGCTTACTCCTAATATATTTACTTCTCTGCTATAAAGAAAAAATACTTCTCAAAAGCTAAACCCAGATGACTTTTGTAATAAATGCTTAGAAAAGACATAGAGAAATTTACTTTTTAGTAATGATGCACATTCATATCTTTTTTTTTTTTTTTTTTGGACAGGCAGAGTTAAACAGAAAGAGAGAGACAGAGAGAAAAGTCTTCCTTCCGTTGGTTCACCTCCCAAATGGCTGCCACAGCCAGGGCGCTGTGCTGATTCGAAGCCAGGAGCCAGGTGCTTCCTCCTGGTTTCCCATGCGGGTGCAGGGCCCAAGCACCTGGGCCATCCTCCACTGCACTCCCGGGCCACAGCAGAGAGCTAGACTGGAAGTGGAGCAACCGGGACAGAATCTGGTGCCCCAACCAGGACTAGAACCCGGGGTGCCAGCGCCACAGGCGGAGGATTAGCCTAGTGAGCCGAGGTGCTGGCCGGATGCACATTTATATCTAAAATTGCCAGAAAAAATACAAGGTGGTCATCTGTAACTGGCACCATTGCCTTTATGTGGTACAAGGAAATTAGTTTCAATCAGATTGTTGTACTTTAGCTGGCCTTGAATTTAACTTGATGTTGTATCCAATTGTAAAGAAAATAATAAAAATAAGAGTATGTATAAATGTCTACCATTTATTCATGTGTGCCTAAGAGAAGCTGAAAAATATGTTTTTTAATTTTTGGAGAATGGAACCACATTCCAACCCTTAATGATATGCAGATATTTTTTTCAACATTCACATACAAAGGGGTCTTCAAAAAGTTTATGGAAAACGTATATCATGAAAAAACTATGCATGGGTTTCAAGATACTTTCCACCAAAATAAACTTCTTTTATTTTTTTCACAGTTTGGATTTTTAAAAAAATTTTTCTCTACGATAGATTTAAATTTACAAAACAAAAAATTATGTAGTACTTCACTTGTTGAATACCTTCCTACATTTTCAAAACTGCATTATATACAAAAGTAGCGAAGTCCCTATTTTTAAGGTACAAACTGACGTTGGTCAATTATCACAAATGTAGGTGACTTGGGCCCTTACACTTTTCCTTTTGCAAAGACAAAGTCAGTACCTTGTTAAGAGCAGATTTCCTATTCACTTTAGAAGTTAGAAATGATTTTCAAGTAGGAATGTATATAAACCTAAGTATGCATATAGCCATAGTGTCCAGTATCTTGCTAAAAGCAGCCTAAGTCATCACAAAGGACTTACAGTGCTGAGACATTCATTCTCTCTCTGTCTGTCTCTCTCTCTCTCTCTGTGTGTGTGTGTGTGTGTGTGTTTGTGTGTGTGAAAATAATATGCTCACCCTCTGGTGGCCAAGATCAGAAATACATTTCCATTTTCTCGGGTTGTATCCAAAATATGATTAATGTGGTATATTAAGTTTCTGCTTCATCTTTAACTTAAAACAAAATATATGAAAGAAGGCTGGCAGTTTAGTTTACTCCAATATCTAAAGAAAATTAACAAAGCAATTAATACTAATTTTGAATTGCTTATGATAGTATTTGATACTGAGTACTTCAACTGATTCTATAACATCATCAGAACTGTAAAATTTTAGAGTTGAGAGGAATTACAGTGGTTCTATAGTCTATTCTCCACTTAAAACTGCAGTGAAAAATCAAATTTTTGTTTCAGTTGTTTTTAAATCAATTAATGAAAGGAAAAAGGTCTGGTAAAAAATTCGTCATAATACTTCTATTCTGATGCTTCTAGTTTTAATTTATAAATATCCTTAGGAATTGGGAAGGTCATATTACAAATAGGTTTATTTTAATTTTCTGCTCATTTTATTCAGCCACCCAACCAATATTTATTGCATATCTGTTATGTTTAATGTGGCACATGTTGAGGTTACAACTGCCCCTGCTTTCAACTTAGTCAAAGGTACAAATAAATAACCACAATCTCAACAGTGTACAATGAGTGCTACAAGAGTGAGCGAGCACAGAGGGTCAGGGCCATCGAAGTAGTCATAGTTGGGGGAATCACTAGGGAAGGGCTCTTGGGAAAATGACTTATTCATTCAGACCTGAAAAAGGAAGAGGGAAGGGAGAGGGGAGAATTATTCTATAAGCAAGAAGGGAAAAATAACGTTCAAAGGTCCTGAGGTGGCAAAGAATGTGGAAATTGGGAGAAATTACAGAAGTATGGGTGGGAAAAAAAAAGGCTGAAGAGGAATGGTCAGAGGTGAGAAGAAAATCTGAAGAATACGGTGTTCCAGAAAGGTCACCAGTGTCCAATGCTGGAGAAAAGACTAAAATATCCACTGGATTTAATGACAAGGATGTAATTTTGACCTGGGAGGGAGTCATCGATCACATTTGAATTAACTGGGAAGAATAAATGAGTCAAAGTGGTTGTAGCAAATGTGGACAATTCTTATGTGAAGAGAAGAACAGAAATAAGAGATGCGTAAGGACAGGCTTCTTAAAGAGACTAGAACACGTGTAAGTAACAGTGGGAAAAAGCCGACACTCGGGGCATGTCTGCGGACATTTAATGGACATACTGAGGAAACAGGCAGGAATGGATTCAGAGCACAGGAGAGAGCTGGGGCACATAGCTGTCTTTTTAAATTAAACCACATATAAAGTTACCTTTTAAAATAGTATGGTCCAGGGGCTGGCCTGTGGCGTAGTGGGTAAAGCCACCACCTGCAGTGCCGGCATCCCATATGGGAGCTGGTTCAAATCCTACCTGCTCCTCTTCTGATCCAGCTCTCTGCAATGGCCTGGGAAAGCAGTAGAAGATGGCCAAGTCTTTGGGTCCCTGCACCCGTGTGAGAGACTTGGAAGAGGATCCTGGCTCCTGGCTTCAGATCAGCACAGCTCTGGCCGTTGCAGCCAAATGGGGAGTGAATCAGCAAATGGAAGACCTCTCTCTCTCTCTCTCTCTCTCTCTCTCTCTGTAACTCTGACTTTCAAATAAATAAATAAGTCTTTAAAATAAAATAAAATAGTATGGTCAATCAGTGCAAAAGTACCTTGAAAAAGGGAAACACCTCTCAAATGTAAAGAAAACACTGTTATATGCCAATCAAGCATATTTGCTTGGTTAAAGAATTACCAGGAGCTGGAACTACAGTATAGTGGGTTGGGCCACCACCTGCAGCGCTGACATCTCATGTGGGCACCTGTTCTGGTCAGGCTGCTACATTTAATCTGGCTCCCTGCTGGTGTTCCTGGGAAAGCAGTGGACGATTGCCCAGGGGCTTGGGCCTCTGCATCCACCTGGGAGACTTGGAGGAAGCGCCTGGCTCCTGACTTCAGCCTGGCCTAGCCCTGGCTGTTGTAGCCATTTAGGGAGTGAACCAGTGAACAGAAGACCTCTCTCTCTGCCTATGGCCCTCCCTCTCTGTGATTCCGCCTTTCAAATAAATAAATACATCTTTAAAAACAATAACAACAACAATAAAAAGAATTACAAAAGCCTAGAAGTAAGGTATTTTAGGACTTGAATCAAATTTTCCTAGATATTCCACTACCACAGTAATTAAGTAATCCATAACAAGTACCTAGTTTACTGAAAGATCCAAAAATGTAACCCTGTTTATATTCATTATATAGCTGGTTCCCATGAACTTCCATTGACTTGGAAAAAAGTTTCACTTTAATCAAAATATCTGTCTTTTCTACTAAGTTTAAATGTGATTGATAAAAGACAGTTGCTTTTCCATCATTTTATGAGTGAGTTCTGGGAAGGAAAAAGGCTTAGTATGTCCAAGTGCTAATAGGGGTGGAAGGCCAGGCTTAAGTGCTTGTTGTTCTTTTTCTTAAATCTCCATGTTCCAAAGACATGGCTTAAGTTAGCCCGTCAATATCCCATTATAAAAGAACCTTTACAACTCTGGACAAAGATAACAACTTTATTACATGTTTTTATTATCATAGAGATAATTTCCTATAGCTCAACAACTGGTGAAATAGAGTATATGGTCATACTTATTAGATTTATAAAGCATTTGGCAATTAATGAAATGTTTTCATATTCCATTTCTTTTTAAAACATATTATCTAAAGAATTTAACTGCTAGATAATAACCACCCATTTTATAGATACCTAAATCAAGGGCCAAAAATCCAATGACATTTAAACTATGTGCTAGCATGTACTGGGTACAAAAATAACACACTGCCATATGGTACTCATATTTCAAAAGCTGACATTTACTAGCCAAGTATTCTGTTAATGACATTGCCATTCAGTTCTTAATCGCTTAATATAATTTCATGCCCTCTACTGCTTCATTAAATGCTATATAGATTTAATTTCCATTATTTCAAAATACATTAATTAAGAGCAACCTACAAGTCAATTCATAAAAAGAACAAAATATTTCAACTACTCTCATTAGATTTTGGCCTCTTAATATAAAGATGAATTTTTCCAAATTTTGTTTCAATTTTTTCTGATTAGAAAACCAAATGGCTATTTTTATATTGAATTTTATTTTGGTTCTTTAATTAAGATAAACCAAAAATACACAATATTTTATAGAATTCACTGAGTATTACTTTTTAATTTTTATTTTGACTTACTAATCATAAATAAAATATGCTTAGAGTTACCACTAAATTAATAAGAAGGTCACAGATTAAAAACATTTATATTTTAATAATAAAAATGTCTAACATGAACATAAAATGTAGATGCATATAAATTAGTTAATTATTACATAAGTCAGTAAAATTGATTAGCATTTACTTGATCAATATATAGACTAAATCTGAAGTAATTATTCTTATTTAGATAGTTCCAGGTGGAATTATTTAAGATATAAGGGAATACACACAATGATATATCCATTCTTGTCGTTCATTCAGAGGCATTACATGTTGACAAACCTGCATATAAAAATAGAAAGCTTTTACTTTTACATACTGGGTTTTTTGGCTAATTTTTCACTAGGACCAATATTTCTAGGCCTTAAATTTAAAAAAATTCTTCTACAGATAAAATTCAATAATATTTGTCCTTAGCAAGGGCTGGCAGTATATGATATATGATCTGAGGTCTAACAGGATAATCCAGTGTAAATCCTACCCCGATATAGTAGTTGTTAGCTGGAGTATAAGAATATGGGTAAAGGAGGGTGATAGAAAGTGAAGTAAATATCTTTCCTTACTAATCCTAGAGCGTTTTCTATAATGTTTTCCAGTTTTTTACTTTGTTTTGTTATTGTTGTTGTTTTAAAGATTATTTATTTATTTATTTGAAAGGCACAGATACAGAAAGAGAGGGAGAGAAGGAGACAGAAATCTTCCATTTGCTGGTTCACTCCCCAAATGGCTGCAATGGCAGGGGCTGGGCCAACCGAAGCCAGAAGCCAGAAGCTTCTTCTGAGTCTCCCACGTGGGTGCAGGGGCCCAAGCACTTGGGCCATCTTCTGCTGCTTTCCCAAGAGCATTAGCAGGGAGCTGGATCAGAAGTAGAACAGCAGGGACTTGAACTGGTGCCCATATTGGATGCCAATTATACAAGTGGTGGCTTTACCCACTATGCCACAATGCCGGCCCCTATTTTCTGTACTCTTAATTTGAGAAACAAAGAATAATCTCTATTTATCCTGTTCTAGAATGTATTAGAATTCTATGGACAGTGTGGAGAAAGAACGGGTAAGAATATAAAGCTTCTTCCTTTTTCTCTTCACCAGATCCTGAGGTGAGGTGGGGGGCAGTGGAATGGGGAGGGGACAGTCTATTGATCTGTCCCTGTTTCTGGCTAAATTAGAATCCCAGAGTTCTGCTAATACCAGAACTAGACTCTTGACTTAATTGTTTATCTAAAATCCAGGGGTATTTTCTCTTTCAAATTAACTTAGGCAATCTGAATAATATAGATAAAATATTTTCAGTTATCAAGGTTCTTCTCTGGGGGCCCATGCTGTGGAGTAGAAGGTTAAGCCACTGCCTGCAGCACTGGTATCCCATATGAGTACCAATTCGATTCCTGGCGGCTCTACTTCCAATCCAGCTCCATGTTAATGTGTCTGAGAAAGTGTTGGAAGATGGCCCAAGTCCCTGGGCTCCTGCACCCACATGGGAGACCGGAAGAAGCTCCTGTCTCCTGGCTTCGGTCTGGGATAACTCTGGCTGTTGCAGCCATTTGGGGAAGTGAACCAACAGATGGAAGATCTCTCTCTCTAACTCTGCCTTTCAAATAAATAAATATTTAAAAATAAAAAAGATTCTTCTCTCTTTCTCTTTCTTAAATAAATAAAAAATCTATGGTTGGGGGACAAGAGCTTAGCCTAGCTGTTAAGACAATAGTTAAGATGTCCGCATACTACATTAGAGGACGTAGGTTTGATTCCCAGCTCTGGCTCCTGATTCTGCTTCCAGCTAATGCAGACTCTGTGAGGCAGCAGTGACAGCTCAGGTAATCAAGTTGGGTTACCTGGATTACTCAGATCCTGGCTTCAGCCCCAGCCATTACAGACATTTGGGAATGGCAGCTCTCTGTTTCTTCCTCACTGACTCTCAAATAAATTTAAAAAATTCAAAAAATTTAAATTCCTATTATTATTAACACTACTTTGCACTTCTATATGGTGTTCTAAAATGCTTTTATGTATATCACTTTATTTTTTATCTTTACATTAACCTTGATAAGTGTCTAAAACTAATGATACTACACATGTATCACGTGTAAAGGGACTGGGACAGAGAGGTTAAATGACCTTTCCTTAGTCATTCAACCAAATAGTGGCAGAATTAGATTAAAACCAAAGTCTCTTATCTCTGAGTACAGAATAACACTGATATGAATATCATACTTTTAATAAATCTTCAACTTCAGTTCCTTTCTACATGTTTATTCATAGCATTAAAACAAACATTCAGACATAAAACAAAAAGTTTTAATTAGAAAATAATACATTACCATTGTAGATTTTGGTGCCACTTCTACTACATATGTGTTGAGTCCTTTGTTGTTCACACAGTTTTTACTTAGTTCATTGTTGACGTGAATAATCAGTTTATTATCTAACTAAAAAAAAGATTTCATAAGTTACCAGTCATTTCTTTAATAAATAGAAACAAAAATAAACCTCAAATAATCCTAGAATCCTGTTAAGATCATATGGCCCGTTACAAACTCATATATACTGGCTCCTTCTCTCATCTTTGTATCTGCATCTTCTTCTCATTCATCTCATTTCTATCTGTTGCCAATAAACTTTTCTTCTAAATATTTTTTTTATTCTAAATGTGACCTTAGTCTTGATCCTTAGGCCATTATTGATATATGCTGGGCCACATTATCTTACCCTTGTCTTACTAAGGTAATAATCTTTATTTCTTTTGCTGAACCTCTAATGTTTCTACCCTCCATTAATTCTGATTCTACCTCCCAAACAAAATGCCTGAAACATCCATTTAAATGTATTACTCATCTGCTCATTTGATAAAGGTGATTTACTTAGTATCAATGATGTTTTGGGCACTGTTCTCTAGAGTCCAGAGACACTGAGATAAAAGACTCTAATGAGCTAGCTCACAATCTAGGGGAGACAGACAAAATGACAATTACAAAACACCATTCAATTTTATAATAGGGAACCATTAAACATAAAAGATGAACATTAGCTCAGACTGGAATTTCAAGAAAGAATGTTTGCAAGAAGTGACAATAATAAATAATGGTTTCTTGAGTGGACAAGAAGCAAGAGAAAATAGAATGAAGATGAAAAATGGGAGAAATGCAGGAGTCAAAATATTCCCCTGGTAAAGAACCTACAATCACTCCCAAATGACTATGAAGGGCAGTATAATGTTTTATATGTGTGACTTTTTGCAAGTTATCTAGTCTCCCTGTGCTTTGGTTTCCTGTGTATAAAATAGGGATAGTATTTACCTTAAAGGGTTGCTAAAAATAGAAAACACACTAATATATAAAAATTCTTGTCACATGGACGGTTCTAAAATGTTAATATTATCAGCACATTTTGATGAAGGAAGTTTATTTAATTTCTTTGAGGGAGGGGCGGGCACCATTGCTCACTTGGTTAATCCTCGGCCTGCGGTGCCGGAACCCATATGGGCGCCAGGTTCTAGTCCCAGTTGCTCCTCTTCCAGTCCAGCTCTCTGCTGTGGCCCGGGAGGGCAGTGGAGGATGGCCCAGGTGCTTGGGCTCCTGCACCCGCGTGGGAGACCAGGAGGAGTCACCTGGCTCCTGGCTTTGGATCGGCGCAGTGCCGGCCATTGCGACCATTTGGGGGAGTGAACCAATGGAAGGAGGACCTTTCTCTGTTTTTCTCTCTCACTATCTGTAACTCTACCTGTCAAATAAATTTTAAATAAAATTTCTTTGAGGGAAAAGAAGGTGATAGAGGATTGCAACATGACAGGTGACAGAACAGAGGGATTGGGGTAAGGGAATGATTTTTCTACAAACTCTTTTCTTTTCTTTTTTGAGAGGCAGAGATAGGGACTCAAAGAGAGAAAGATAGAGACCAAGACAAAGAAAGGAAGAGCTCCCATCCTCTGGTTCATTCCTCAAATGTCCACATGGTTGCCTGCAATGGTCTGAACCAAAGCCAAGAATTCAATCCAGGTCTCCCATGTGGGTGACAGGGACTCCCACTAGAGCCATCACCTGTTGTCTCCCACATTCTGCATTGGCAGGAAGATGGAACTGGGAGCTGAGTCAGAACTCAAACCCAAGTACTCTGATGTGGAATGTGGACAACCCAACAGGCATCTTAACAGCTAAGCCAGATGCCACCTACCTCCTTCTACTTTTAATTCTAAGAAAACACAGAGTCAGACAGGCAAGCAGGCTAGATCTTAAGAATCACCTTCTGGGACTGGTGTTGGGGCGTAGTGGGTAAAGCTGCTGCCTGTGATGCCAGCATCCCACATGGATGCCGGTTCATGTCCCAGCTGTTCTACTTCTGATCCAGATCCCGGCCAATGGCCTGGGAAAAACAGAGGAAGATGGCCTAAATGTTTGGGCCCCTACGACCCATGTGGGAGACCCAGATGAAGCTTCTGCCTTTGGCTGGCCCAGCCGTGGTTGTTGCAGCCATCTGGGAAGTAAACCAGAGAATGGAGTATCTCTCTCTGCGTGTCTCTTCCCCTCTTCTCTGAAACTCTTTCAAATCAATTAATCAATAAATCTTAAAAAAAAAAAAAAGAATCACCTTTCAAAGCTGTATGACCCATGGGCATATTACAATCTATTAGGGGAAGACCCTAGTTTACTTAATCAAATCCAAATGCCTCCATCTTGGTTTCAAGATAACATAGATAATCTGGATTAGTTTTAACTATGCATTTACCTTCCTAATACTCCAAATAAAGTTTTCTGCTGCTACAAGGAAGTTACTTCATACTGATCTTCCCCATGTTTCTTTTTATACTATTTCTCCTACTTCTAAAGGCTGTCTCTATGTGCATAAATCCTAATCATCCTGAAATCCCCCACCACAGCCCCTTCTTCACCATCACAAATCCTTCCCCAAGTTTTAAGATTCAAACTAACAGCATCTACTAGAGATACAAATAGAAGAAACTACTACATACAGGAATAATACTATTTAAATTCAGTTAATTATTCTCTGATCTCTTTTGAGAATATTAATTTTGTCTTTTCAACTAGCTCATAAATTCCTCAAAAGCAGAAACCATGTGTCATGTTTTAAGGTTGGCTTCTATTATGACTAAGAGATTTGGTTATATAACATTAACTCAAAATTCAGCCAAACCTTAAGTACTTACCACAAATTTATAGGAGGCATAAAAATAAGTCTCATCCACAGACTGAAAGAAATAAGCCAAAATCCTGTTTATGATTTTATAAAAATTTATACTTTCTGGAGAACTGAATATGCCTGACTAAAAATTTATGCAGGGGTAGGCATCTAGCCTACAATTTTTTAAAAAGATTTATTTATTTGAAAGTCAAAGTTACACAGAGAGAGAAGGAGAGGCAAAGAGAGAGAGAGAGGTCTTCCATCTGCTGGTTCACTTCCCAAATGGTCACAACAGCTGGAGTTGGGGCAATCTAAAGCCAGGAGCCAGGAGCTTCTTCCATGGGTCTCCCATGTGGGTGCAGGGCCCAAGCACTTGGGCCATCTTTCACTGCTTTCCCAGGCCATAGCAGAGAGCTGCATCAGAAGTGGAGCAGCCAGGACTTGAACCAACATCCAGATGTGATGGTGGAGCTGCAGAGCAGTCCTACCTGCTACGCCACAGTGCTGGCCCAAATTTAAGACATCTACCTCCTACATCAGAGAGCCTAGGTTTGATACCTGGCTCTGGCTTCTGACTCCAGCTTCCTGTTGATGGACACCCAAGGGAGGTTATGATGATGGCTCAAGTAGGTAGATTCCTGCCACCTACCTGTCGCTCCCCGTCTTCGTGGAGGAACGACACAGGACCCTGCGTTGTTCTTTTGTCTGCTCGGCCCTCCCCGGGTTTGCTGCTGGTCCTTCCCGGGTTGGCTGCTGGTCCTTCCCGGGTTGGCTACCATCCCTTCCACCTCCGTGGAAGGGCGGTTCCCCCTGCCACATTCCCCACTTCCGCGGGGGAGTGGCACACCGCTGGCCGGCTCTCTCGGGGGCTGCACAGGTGTTCCTTCAGATAGATGTTCCCCTTAGATGTTCCTGGTGCATGCCGTCTCTCTCCTCCTTTATAGTCCTCCTCCGCCAATCCTAACTCAGCTGCCCACACGCCAAGTACGCTGCTCTCCTCCAATCAGGAGCGGCTCTTGCAGCTTATCAAGTTGGTAAGGGGCAGCTGGGTAGAAGCTGTACGCTCCTCTCCCAGCGCCACATTGTGGGAGAGCAGATGCATAGAATAAGTCTTAATTCCAGTAACTCAGTCCAGTCCGGGTTGCTCCCCACACCTACCCACATGGGAGACCTGAACTGAATTACAGACTCCCAGCTTCAGTTCTGGTAAGTGGCCACTGTAGGCATTTGGAGAGTGAATCAGGGGTTGGGAGTTCTCTTTCTCTGCCTCTCAAATAAATTTTTAAAAAAAATTTATGCATGTACTCTCTTGACCTGTAATATCAATACAGGTTGAACATCCCTAATCCAAAAATTCAAAATCTGAAAGGCTCCAAAATCTGAAACTTTTTGATCACTGACTTGATACCTTAAGTGGAAAATCCACACCTGACCTCATGTAACAGTTGGAGTCAAAATGTAGGTGCACTAAAAATACTGAATAAAAGTACTGATGGGGCGGTGCTGCGGCGTAGTGGATTAAGTCTCTGCCTGCAGTACCAGCATCCCATGTGGGTGCTGGTTCTAGTCCCGGTTGCTCCGCTTCCAATCTAGCTCTCTGCTATGGCTTGGGAAAGTAGTAGAAGATGGCCCAGGAGCTTGGGCCCCTGTACCCACGTGGGAGACCCGGAAGAAACTCCTAGCTCCTGGCTTCAGATCGGCACAGCTCCGGCTGTGGCAGCCATTTGAGGAGTGAATCAGCGGAAGGAAGACCTTTCTCTCTGTCTCTCCCTCTCATTGTCTGTAACTCTACTTCTCAAATAAATAAATAAATCTTAAAAAAAAAAAAAGTACTGGCCGGCGTTGCGGCTCAGTAGGCTAATCCTCTGCCTGTGGCACCAGCAACTCGGGTTCTAGTCCCAGTTGGGGCGCCGGATTCTGTCCCGGTTGCCCTTCTGTCAGTCCAGCTTTCTGCTGTGGCCTGGGAGTGCAGTGGAGGATGCAAGTCACTGGGCCCTGCACCCGCATGGGAGACCAGGAGAAACATCTGGCTCCTGGCTTTGGATGAGCGTCGTGCGCTGGCTGCAGCGCACTGGCCACAGCGGCCATTGGAGAGTGAGGAAGACCTTTCTGTCTCTCTCTCTCACTGTCCACTCTGCCTGTCCAAAAAAAAAAAAAACGTACTGACATAATATGTCAACAAAATTCATATGAAACATAAGTGAATTCTACATTTGGACTTGAGCCCCATCCCCAAGATATTTCATTATGTATAAGCAAAATACCCCCACATATGAAAAATATCCCAAATCTGAAATGTTTCTGGTCCCAAGAATTTTAGATAAGGGATACTCAACTTGTAGCAGAAAAGATGGCCAAACTAGAAATAATTACCTTGAAAAAAAGTATGTTTTCGACAGAATAAATTTAGCTAGATAAAATTATGATAATCTAAAGGATCTCTGTTAAAAGTTAATGTAAAAAGTTTTCTTCTTTGTTTATATCCTTAAATCATGATGTTTATTATTTAAAATTGCTATGTATATGTGAAGACTTTCACCAACAAATGAGACAAAATACCCAGCACCAGATTATTCTGTACTTCACTGATTTCTTTTTTTTTTATCTTCTAATTTATACTTTATTGCATTATGAAAATAATACATTTATTTGGCAAAGTAATCTAGACTCCAAGTTGAAATAAAATTCTGAAGTGTACTGATTATTTAATTTTTTAAACGTGAAATAGATGTACTCTAACCAATACATTACTTGCTTTCTTATAAGTAGGCCAATAACCCAGTAAACCTAATTGTAATAATTCCATATGAAATTACAGATGTTTTTGCATTCAACCATTTTATGATCAGCACGTGTCTCAAGAGAACTGATCTTCATGTCATCCAAATCAACGTACTTAAGAAACTCCTGTTCAGAAAAAAACAGTTTGAACTACCCCAAATTGGGCATGATAATTCTTATCTGATTTTTAAAGCCTTGAAATCATTGTTGTGTACTTCACTGATTTCTAAATATTTAATTTTTATAGTCTAAGAGGAACAACAATGATTTCAAGGCTTTAAAAATCAGATAAGAATTATCATGCCCAATTTAATTTGAAACCTGAGGAGAATGAATAATCACCTATTATAAGGATTATTAGTATAATGGGATATTTAATTACTGTATAATAACAGAGTAAAGGAGAAGACTAACATAATAGTGGGTTCACAGTAAAATAGGAAGAATTATCTTATCACTTATACCTTATTTTCAATAACAGAAGTTATCCAGCTGTCATGTTTGTAAGTATATATGATTATATTCTCATAGCCATCCATTGATTTGGCACTGCCGTTGGTAAGAACATATTTACAAATGGTCTTCTCAAGTTGCCCATTGCATGCCTCCATACAGACAGCTTTAATTCTTGGCTTGCACTTTTCTGCATGAATATTGATGACAAATGGACAAGCCTGATAGGGAAGAGAAAGCGAACCTTGGTTTAGCCTTGTGGTAGAACTGAAAATTATTTATTTGGTTAAATATTTATTTATTTAATTATTTGAAAGGCAGAGTTACAGATAGAGAGGGAAAGGCAAAGAGAGACAGAGAGAGATCTTCCATCTGCTGGTTCACTCTCCAAATGGCCTCAAAGGCCAGGATTGAGCCAGGCCAGCAGCCAGGAGCCAGGAACTCCATCTGGATCTCCCACGTGGGTGGCAGAGGCCCAAGCATCTGGGCCATATTCTGCTGTTTTTCCAGGATCATTAGCAGGGAGCTCAATTGGAAGTGGAGCAGCTGGTCTTCAAACTGGCACTCATATGGTATGCCAGTGTCACAGGTGGTGGCTGCGACTAGGCCACAGTACTGGCCCCCAAAATAAATTATTATTAATATGTTTATTTTGGGGCTGGTACTGTAGTGCAGTGGGTTAACACCCTGGCCTGAAGCGCCGGCATCCCATATGGGTGCCGGTTTGAGTCCCAGCTGCACCACTTCCGACCCAGCTCTCTGCTATAGCCTGGGATAGCAGAAGATGGCTCAAGTCCTTGGGCCCCTGCAGCCACATGGGAGACCAGGAAGAAGATCCTGGCTCCTGGCTTCGGATTGGTGCAGCTCCAGCCATTGTGGCCATCTGGGGAGTGAATCAGCGGGTGGAAGACCTCTCTCTCTCTCTGCCTCTCCTATCTCTGTGTAACTCTGACTTTCAAGGAAAATAAATATAAAATCTTTATAAAAAAAAAACTGATATGTTTATTTTGTGCTTGAAGAAAATATACCATACCTTCTGACTTGTCTCTCTGATATACTTTTAGAGGAAAACATTAGCATTATGATTAAGAAATTTAAAAGCACAAAACTTTTTTTGGTAACATATTAACTGATAATGTTTATAGAAAATTATAACCTCTAGCAAATCAGAAATATCTCCTTTAGGCCATAATACCATCTCTCCATTTGGTTCAATGCTAACTAGTATCATGTTATTTAACTTTTTTTATAACTTTAAGCTTACAGAAAGAATTAATCAAAGGGTTCTATAGAAATTATGTTTGGGGCCAGCGCTGTGGCATAGTATATTAAGCCTTCGCCTATGGTGCTGACATCCCATATGGGTGCCAGCTGGTGTCCTGGCTGCTTTTCTTCCTACCCAGCTCTCTGCTTATGTCCTGGGAAAGCAGTGGAAGATGGTCCAAGTGAGAAACCTGGAAGAAGCTCTTGGTTCCCGGCTTCAGATTGGCCCAGCTTCAGCTGTTGCGGCCACTTGGGGAGTGAACCTCTCTCTGTAACTCTGCCTCTCAAATAAATAAATAAAAATATTTTAAAAATTGAATTATTATATTTACAATTGAAACAATAAATGAATATAGAATTGGATGTTGAGATAAGGCTGGTTATCTGAAAGACCAAGTGATTAGAGGCTGCAACTCCCAGCTTATTCACTGACTTCCAGGTAGAGGGAAGGGTCTGGAGAACACAGTCTATAAAAACTTTCAACCCTGAGATCAGACGAGCGGGACTGCTGGACCCGTGGAGGTTCTGAGAGGCTGGTGGGTTCACAGAGGGCATGGAAACTCTTGGGTCTCCCATGCCTCCAGCCTAACCCATGCATTTCTTTACCTGGCTGACCATCAATATCCTGTGTGATATATTGGCTAACACAAGTAAAGCATTTCCCTGGGTTCTGTGAGCCATCCCGGCAAATTATCAAGCCAGAGGATGTGAGGTATGAGAACTTCTTCATCTTTTTTTAGGATTTATTTTATTTGTTTGAGAGGCAGAGTTAGAGATAGAGAGGGAGAGAGATCTTCCATCCACTGGGAGTCTACTCCCAAATGGATGCAATGGCCAATGCTGGGCCAGTCTGAAGCTAGGGCCAGGAGTTTTTCCCACGTGGGCCCAAGCACTTGGGCTGTCCTCTGCTGCTTTCCTAGGCACATTAGCAGGGAGCTGGATCAGAGGTAGAGCAGCCAGGACTCCAATAGGTACCCAAATGGGATGCCAACACTGCAGGCAGCAGCTTTACCTGCTACATCACAGTGCCAGACCCATGGTTTGGGAATTTCTGTCTACAGCTGGTCAGAAACAGAGGGATATGCATGTTGGTGTTTCATGTGAGGGAGATTTTGTGGGACTGAGCCCTTAACATGTGGGATCTGAGGCTCTCTCTAGGTAGATTATGTCAGAATTGTACTGAATTACAGTGGTCCCCCGTTATCCAAGAGAGACACGTTCCTGGACCTCCAATGGATGTCTGAAAGCCCCATATACCAAACCCTGTAAGTACTGTTGTATCTACACATAGATGCCTAAGATTCAATTTGAAAATTAGGCACAGTGAAATACTAACACCTAATAATAAGGTACACACTAATAATAAAGTAGAAGTGATTTAGAAAAAAATTAGATGTTGATAATAAGTTCACAATTCAAACAATCTAAAAACACCTTAGCTGAGGAAGATAAAGAAGATGAGAAGGAGGTGGAAGATGAAGAAGATGAAGATGATGATGAATATGTTGGTTCTAGTGTAGGGTTTTTTTATTGTCTATAAAGTATTTAATCCCCTGGACACAACTCACTCTTTTTAAAGCAAAAACTGGAAATATAAGGCTATGTAAGATCTGTTTTAAACTGTACAATGTCTTTTTTTTTTTTTGTCACTGTTTTTAGATAGCCCTTTCCTGGTGTGGTGGTATTTTCAATAGTCACTAACCCTGCTCTGGTACAGTATGCGGTTGTAGATTTGCATGGAAATTTAAAGCATGTTCTTGGTGTACAGCACAATTTAATTATATATGGGGATGGGAGTTTTTTCATCTTCAGTTGCCTCTGATGTAACTTACACGAAATGTTTTCTGTTAATTGAAAGCACTCTGTAATTGCAAAAAAAATTTTCAGCTGTTTCATTGACATTCTGAATGCTTTTAAGTGAATAGATTCTTTAAAATTAGTATTGTCTTTTTCATAGGTATGCAATTTTTCTTCTTCAGGGGAATTTAGTCTTGTTTTTGTCCCTTTTGGGTAACATGAATTATGACAGTGTTTATCTTTCCATGTAGTTAATAAAAAGCTTTTGTCTACATATCCTACATCATCATGATGGGGGTAATAAATGTTAAATTGAGGCCATTTTTATCCATTAAAAACAATCTAATATCCAAGGATATCTCTGCATTTGGATCTGAACTTTTCCAATGTGTACTTTTAGTCTTTACAACCTACAATGTATTGCACACAGTAGTATTTGCCTCTTTATCCAACACAGTCTCCTGTTTTACTGTGTTCTAATTGCACTGAACTTTCAGATCCCAGGTCAAAGGACGCTCTTTCCTATGTGAGGCCTCTCTACTTGTAATGTTCTCTCCACTTCTAAGATTCCCCTCATATCTTTTCATCTACTCAGTGCCTCTTACAGATTTATCATATAGTAGGTATTCAGTAAGTACTTGTTGAATAAATGAATATATTCACAGGCAGTGATGGTAAAACTTTGGCGAAATAAAATCTGAAGTTCATTTAGAGAAGCATCAGCAGAGATTTCTGTTTTGGGGCTGGTGCTATGATGCAGCAGGTTAAGTGTGCCTGCAATGCCAGCATGTCATATGAGAATCCATTAGAGTTCTGGCTGCTCCACTTCTGACCCAGCTCCCTGCTAATGCACCTAGGAAAGCAGCAGATGGGATTCCTGGCTCCTGCCTTTGGCCAGGCACAGATCCGGCCATTTGTGGAGTGAATCAGCAGATAGATCTCATTCACTATCTCTCTCTCCTCCTCTCTCTGTAACTTTGCCTTTCAAATATATAAATTAATCTTTAAAAAAATTCTCACAAACTTTGGAAAAAAACTGATTATTCTTTGTATTTAGAACCATCGGATCTGGTTCTAAATCTGTTCAACCAGTCAGGAACAATCCCACCTAAATGAACTATCAATGCTCCTCACCTTTGAAAGACAGGCAATCAAGGACAAAATCACATTAATAAATATACCAATCAAGTGCCAACCAATCAACAGTATTCCCTGAGTAACCATGCTTTTTCAAATGTTGTCAACTCATTTATGTTTTTTTTTTTTTTTTTTTGACAGGCAGAGTGGACAGTGAGAGAGAGAGACAGAGAGAGAAAGGTCTTCCTTTTGCCATTGGTTCACCCTCCAATGGCCGCCGCTGCAGCCGGCGCACCACGCTGATCCGATGGCAGGAGCCAGGATCCAGGTGCTTTTCCTGGTCTCCCATGGGGTGCAGGGCCCAAGCACCTGGGCCATCCTCCACTGCACTCCCTGGCCATAGCAGAGAGCTGGCCTGGAAGAGGGGCAACCGGGACAGAATCCGGTGCCCCGACCGGGACTAGAACCCGGTGTGCCGGCACCGCAAGGTGGAGGATTAGCTCATTTATGCTTTTAAAAGCTAGACAATTACTGAACTCTGTCTTTCCTAAATCTTATATCAATGGGTATTCTACCTTATACAGAGACTATATCTGAGCATATTACCTACTCAATATATAAATAAAATTTAAATTAAAAAATTACCTCAGAATTCTGCCTTATGACTTCAAAGGTAAATGACATCAGCAAATACTATAAAAAGTCTTAAATAGGGGCTGGCGCTGTGGCGCAGTGGGTTAAAGTGTGGCCTGAAGTGCTGGCATCCCATATGGATGCTGGTTCAAGTCCCGGCTGCTCCATTTCCTATCCAGTTCTCTGCTATGGCCTGGGAAAGCAGTAGAAGATGGCTCAAGTCCTTGGGCCCCTGCACCCACGTGGGAGACCCAGAAGAAGCTCCTGGCTCCAGGCTTCGGATTAGCTCAGTTTTGGCTATTAGGTCATCTGGGCAGTGGGCCAGCAGATGGAAGACCTCTCTCTCTCTCTCTCTCTCTCTCTCTCTCTGGTTCTACCTCTCTCTGTAACTCTTTCAAATAAATAAAATAAAACTTTAAAAAAAAGTCTTACATAGCTCTTAACTAATTTCTTTATTAAGTGAAGCATGTATAGCAGAATCAGTACTGTTCATTAGTTAAAAGCTGATTTTATAGCATGGTTAGAATGTGGAGTTCACTCAATGTTAGGTTAAAGTAGGATAGAAAGAGTTATTATAACTATTCACCTCCTATTAATACAAATAGCAAAAATAAAAATAGAAACAACTTCTCAGAAAACAGGTTTATGAGGGTTGCTGAATGTCAAAACCAGAAATTAAACCAGGCTATCAATGAATCTTAAACTTAAAAAACTTATTGATGACAGAACTGCCCTCTTAAATTGATTTTTATATGGAAAAGGACAGTATTTTTAAGGATAGTATATTCTGGGGCCAGCACTGTGGCGTAGCAGGTAAAGCCACCGCCTGTAGTGCCAGCATCCCATATGGGCACTGGTTTGAGTCCCAGGTGCTCCACTTCCAATCCAGCTCTCTGCTATGGCCTGGGAAAGCAGTGGAAGATGGCTGAAGTTCTTGAGCCCCTGCACCCACATGGGAAACCTAGAAGAAGCTCCAGGCTCCTGGCTTCAGATCGCCCAGCTCCAGCTGTTGTGGCCATTTGGGGAATGAACCAGTGGAAGAAAGAGCCCTCTCTCTCTCTCTTTCCTCTCTCTCTCTCTGTAATTCTGCCTTTCAAAGAAATAAATAAATCTTAAAAAAAAAGTATATTCTTAAAATACTCATATATTGTTATCTAACATACAGCTTGAAAACAAAACTTAAATTTTATGTATTTCTTAAACAATTTAAAAATTTTTAACTGACATAAACACTGTACCTATTTATTGAGTATCATGTGCTGTTATAATACACAGGCACACTGTGTAAACATATCTACCTCCTGAAACACTGAATTCTGTCATTTAAATATGAAGCACAAATATGGAATTGAAGAATAAAGTCTAATTTTTATTATCTCTAGCTTATCACAAGTCATTTGACTTCTGTACCTATCATGTAAATAAATAATCATTAATAGCTAAGAGCATACACAGTGCTTTGTATGAGCTAGCCACTGTCCAAGTGTTTTACAAATATTAACAAATATACCACTTATAAAAAGATCAGAATTCCAAATTCTCATATAGATACATTCTCCTCATTCTAAGAGAAATGTTCTTTTAGGACAGAGTTTCCCATTTAAGTGAGCCTTTAGTAACTCAAACAGCTATCTCCACTTAAAGAGTATAGTTTTCAAAATCATCAGTTTTTGCCTGAATATAATATGCACACATTCTTTTGTCTCTGAATAACTGAGATGTTGACAGTAACTGTGAAGTGAGAATAGTAACTTGCATAAACTGACAGAAATATGCTGTTCCACTCAGTACTCATTAATATACTACTGAAATTGAAGAATTTGAGAGCCTAATTCAAAAAATCACGTATCAGGAAAATGTTAAGGGGGTAAAATACCATGTACACTACACCCACTGGAAACAAGGAAGCCACACCTCTGTCAGCTCCAGAGCTTTATTGTAGCCCATCGAGTGCAGAATCACCCAAAGGTCACGAGGATCTCCGCCTTGATCGCTGGCTTCCATCATATTCAATTCCATAAATCCTTGTCTTGTTAATTCATTCTTCTTCGTATCAAAATTCTCTGTTAACCAAAAGTTTCTTACATAATTAAACATTTATATGGTTAATAAAATGTCTATGTATTATAATTTATAAGTGCTTATTTTAAAGGTGGCTTTATGAATCTGTAAGCAGAATAAAAGTAAATTAAGAATCGCTCCAAACATGCTTGTGAGCTACACTTCTAATTCCTGACAAGTTAGCATAGCTACTGTCACAGTACACATTTAGTTTCTCAACAAATTCTGAACTTATCAATAATATAAACATCCTAAATTAGAGGAAAGTGTAATTTATTTATTTATTTATTTTTTGACAGGCAGAGTGGACAGTGAGAGAGAGAGACAGACAGAAAGGTCTTCCTTTGCTGTTGGTTCACCCTCCAATGGCTGCCGCGGCCGGTGCGCTGCGGCTAGCGCACCGCGCTGATCCGATGGCAGGAGCCAGGAGCCAGGTGCTTTTCCTGGTCTCCCATGGGGTGCAGGGCCCAAGCACCTGAGCCATCCTCCACTGTACTCCCTGGCCACAGCAGAGAACTGGCCTGGAAGAGGGGCAACCGGGACAGAATCCGGCGCCCCGACCGGGACTAGAACCCGGTGTGCCGGCGCCGCTAGGCGGAGGATTAGCCTAGTGAGCCGCGGCGCCGGCCCGGAAAGTGTAATTTTTTCTGAGTAAATTCTAGCTTACCTGCTCAATTAAGTATATAATTATATACATTTCAAAAATTAAAATGATTCATGTATATTTGCCACTTAAAACAAGTAGAACCTGTATAAATTAGATATAATAACTTAAAACTACTGGATTTTGAAAAAGGTGGATGTGGATAGGGTTATATTTGAGACTACTATCTGCCTAATTCCTCTGTTCCCTGGTCCTTAAAAGACTGTTAGACTTTGGGAATACCCCAGAGTTCAAGAGTCAATCACATTTACCCAGGTAATTCTAATTATACCCATTTACCATTGGTTGTGAGGAACAACATTAAATTCACCTAGAAGTATTTAGAAATATGCAATCCCTGGATTTATCTATAACCTAGATAATAAACATCCACTTACAATAGATGCTTAAACTTTGTTAACTGTCCTACAAGAAGTGTTTTATTTTTCAACTTCTGTCTGTAATGTACCCAAGGGAAAGAGATTTTCTTACTTGAGATACTGCTTCTTTTTGTATGCAATATTCTGAAAGAGAAATACCTGTCCAAAATTTGTCAGCTGATTAATACATTAAAATGTTTAGGGTTGAGCCGGCGCCGTGGCTCAATAGGCTAATCCTCCACCTTGCGGCGCCGGCACACCGGGTTCTAGTCCCGGTTGGGGCGCCGGATTCTGTCCCGGTTGCCCCTCTTCCAGGCCAGCTCTCTGCTATGGCCAGGGAGTGCAGTGGAGGATGGCCCAGGTGCTTGGGCCCTGCACCCCATGGGAGACCAGGAAAAAGCACCTGGCTCCTGGCTCCTGCCAGGATCAGCGCGGTGCGCCGGCTGCAGCGGCGGCCATTGGAGGGTGAACCAACGGCAAAGGAAGACCTTTCTCTCTCTGTCTCTCTCTCACTGTCCACTCTGCCTGTCAAAAAAAAAAAAAAAAAAAATGTTTAGGGTTGAAAGTGATTCATAACTTTTGCAAGGAAAAAGAAAAACAAAAAACAAATGCAGATTAAATTATATCACAGCAAGAAATGGTAGCTACCTAAATGGAAGCTGGAATCACTAGTATTAAAGCTAGATGAAAAAAAATAATATTTGATATACAATACAAAGAAATCATTACTTTAGAAAATTGTGTCTAGGTTCTGTGTTACAGACTATCAATAACCAGTTTACTTTTAAACTTAAAATTCTAGAGCCTCATTAATTTTTTTTTCACAGAGTTAGAGAGAGAGAGAGAGAGAGAGAGAGAGAGAAAGGTCTTCCTTCCATTAATTCACCTCCCAAATGGCTGCTACAGTCGGCGCGCTGCGCTGATCCAAAACCAGGAGCCAGGTGCCTCTTCCTGGTCTCCCATGCGGGTGCAGGGCCCAAGCACTTGGGCCATCCTCCACTGCCTTCCTGGGCCACAGCAGATAGCTGGACTGGAAGAGGAGCAACTGGGACAGAATCCGGGGCCCCATCTGGGACTAGAACCTGGTGTGCCAGTGCCACAGGTGGAGGATTAGCCTAGTGAGCCGCAGCGCCGGCCGATCCTCATTAATTTTTAAAAAGCTTATTAACACCTGAGTTCAAGACTTAATACAAACCTACCATAATCAAGACAGTGTGGTGATGGTGAAAGCACTGACAGTTAATGGAACAGAATACAGAGCCCACAAAACAGACCCACACAAATATATTCAAGACATTTAACAAAGGAGCAAAGACAGTTCACGGGAGAAATGATACTCTGAAATAATTCCACATGCAAAATGGACAAATCTAGACACAGACTACTCTTTCAACAAAATTAACTCAAAATGGGTCACAGACTCAAACGTAAAACACTAAACTAAAAAATCTAGAGATAATTTAAGAGAAAATCTAAGCAAACTTGGCTTTGTGATGAGTTTTTAGATATAACACTAAAAGTATACAAACCAAAAGTATGATCTATAAGACAAAAAAATTGATAAGTAGGACTTCATTAAAATTAAAAACTTCTGTGAGGAACATTAAGAGAATGAAAATTACAAGCCGCATGCTTGAAAAAAATACTTGCAAACTATAATATGAAAAAAAGATTTGCATTCAAAATATAAAACAAACTGTTGAAGCTCAAGAAAACAAACATCCCAATTAAAAACTGGCAAAATGTCTGAACAGTCATCTCACAAAAGAAGAAATACAGAAGATGGCAAATAAGCATACGAAAAGATGCTCAACATTGTGTGTCATTAGGGAGCTGCAAATTAAGACCGCAATGAGAGACATTACACCTATTTGGAAGGCTAAAATCCAAAAAATTTACAATACCAAATGCTACTAAAAGTGTAATGCAATAGAAATTTTAATTCATTGATGTGGGAATTCAAAATGGTATAGCCACTTCAGAAGATAGTTTGCCAGTTCTTTCAAAGCTAAATGAGTTTCACCACAAAATTGAGTTGTTTAAATGAATTGAGTTAAAACTTAAATACATACACTGTGTGAATCCAGCTTTAGGATATAAGTAAAATTATAGACATCACAGGTCGCTGAATGTTAGAGGGAAGGAAAAGACAAATGAATAACCGAAACACAGAGGCTTTTTAGGGCAATGGAGCTATTCTGTATGGCACTGTAATGGTAGATACATAATATTACATAATTGTCAAAACCCATAGAACTGTACAAGACTGAATTTTTTTTTAAATTTTTATTTTGTTTATTTGCAGAGCCAAAGAGAGATGGAGAGACACAGAGGTCTTATCTCCTGGTTTGTTCTCCAAATGCCTGCAATGGCCAGGGTTGGGCCAGGCAGGCTAAAGCCAGGAACCAGGAGCTTCTTCCAAGTATCCCACATGGGTGCAGGGGCCCAAGCACTTGGGCAGTCCTCTGCTATTTTCCCAGGCACATTAGAAGGGAGATGGATCAGAAGTAGAGCAGCTGGGACTCAAATGAGCGCCAATAAAGGATGCCAGCATTGCAGGTGGTGACTTTACCTGCTACACCACAATGTCAGCCCCAAGATTGAATGCTAATAGTGAATCCTAAAATAAACTATGTACTTTAGCTAATAATGTATCAATATTTAGTTCACCAATTGTACCAATGTGCCATACTGATGTAACATGTTAATAATTGGCAGGAAAGAGAAGGATAGGTATATGGGTGATCTCTGTGTTTTCTATTCAATTTTTTCCTGTAAACTTAATATTGGTCTACAGAATTAAGTTTTTAAAATAGAATCTTACTTACCAACAATTTACCATAAGAAAATCCTAATTATGATTAACTTTTAAGGAATGTGTTCTGGTCCTAACACATATAAAATTAAAAGATCCTGTTGGGGGGCCCTTGCTGTGGCATAGCAGGTAAAGCCACTGCCTCCAGTACCGGCATCCCATATGGGCACCTGATTGAGTCTTGGTTGCTCCACTTCTGATCCAGCTCTCTGCTATAGTCTGGGAAAGTGGCAGTAGAAGATGGCCCATGTCCCTGGGCCCCTGGGCCTGCTTGGGAGACCAGGAAGAAGCTCCTGGCTCCTGGCTTTGGATTGGCGCAGCTCTGGCAGTTGTGGCCACTGGGGAGTGACCAATGGATGGAAGACCTCTCTGTCTCTCTCTCTGCCTCTGCCTCTCTGTAACTCTATCTTTCAAATAAATAAATATATCTTAAAAAAAAAAAAGATCCTATCAGTGTGGGATCTATCCAGTAGCCACTGCTTGGGATGCACACATCCCATATCAGAAGGCTGTTTTTTTTTTTTTTTTTTTTTCCTTAAAGATTTATTTATTTATTTGAAAGGCAGAATTACAGAGAGGCAGAGAGCGACAGAGAGAGAGGTCTTCCATCCACTGGTTCACTCCCCAGATGGCTGCAATGACTGGAGCTGTGCCAATCTGAAGCCAGGAGCCAGGAACTTCCTCCAGGTCTCCCACAGATGCAGGGGCCCAAGGACTTGGGCCATCTTCCACTGCTTTTCTAGGCCATAGCAGAGAGCTGGCTCAGAAGTGGAGCAGCCAGGACTTGAACTGGCGCCCATATGGGATGCTGGCACTGCAGGCGGCGGCTTTACCTGCTATGCCACAGCACCAGCCCCTAGATGGCTGGTTTAAGTCCTGGCTGCTCTGCTTCTGATCTAGCTTCCTGCTAATGTGACTGGGAAGGCAGTAGATAATAGCCCAAGTACTAGGGTCTCTGCCACTCATGTGGGAAATGCAGATGAAATTCCAGGTTCCTGGCTCTGGCCTGGCTCAGACTCGGCTGTTACAGGCATTTGGGGAATGAACCAGCAGATGGTAAGTATCTCTTCTGTCTCTCCCTCTGTCACTCTGCCTTTCAAATAAAAAAAAATCTTATCACTACTGTTATGATTGTATATCATAAATCTTATTAATCAAAGTGTAATATTATAAAGGAATATTATATATTTCTTATTGTTTATAAAATTTAAATTTTCAGTTAAAAAGAGATACACAAAAGAATTCCTTATATTAACAATGTATTTCCAACCTCCTTGCTCTTTAGATAAACAGATTTACCAGACTTCTAGTTGGCTGACTCTGACAAGCTTAAACCGTTTTTAGAAATATACATTACTACTCCAATGACAGTATTTGTGAGTTAATCTCTCTCTTGAGCACAGTCTGGCTTCCTCATACTTCTTGTTCTCTGATCTATACATAGTTGGAGAAACCTTCTGGTTTCCCTCTTTGACCTTTGGTCCCTGGCTTAGATACACAATTTTACTTCCTAAATGACAATCAATTTTGCTTCATTCTTAGCGATATTCTTTGTCCATCTTGGCACTTTTGACTGCAATAACTCTATAGATGGACTTCCTTAATTCAAATCAAACACAAAAAACATTAAAGAATTCTTAACATATATAAGCAACTTCGTGGAAACCTCTTAATTTTTCAGTAAAACTCTAGCTTGTTGGCCCTTTGCTGCCCTCTCCTGACAATGTTAGGTCCAGTGTATCAAGAGTTAGGACTGCCTCATCTTCTGAGCCCCAAAGGGTACAGGCTGAAAACTGACATTATAATTAATTCACATTTTCTTTCTTTCTTTTTTTTTAAAAAGACTTATTTGTTTATTTGAAAGGCAGAGTTATAGCGAGAGAAGGAGAGATAGAGATAGAGAGAGAGAGAGAGAGAGAGAGAGAGAATCTTTCATCCATTGGTTCACTCCCCAGATGGCTACAACAGCCAGGGTTGGGTCAGGTCAAAGCCAGGAGCCAGGAGCCAAGAGCCAGGAGGTTCATCTGGGTCTCCCATGGGGGTGGCAGGGACCCAAGGACTGGGTCATCTGCCGCTGCTTTCCCAGGTACATTACTGGATCACAAGTGGAGCAGCCAGGACTCAAACCAGCACCCAAATGGGATGCTGGCATTGCAGGTGGCAGCTTAACCCACTACACCACAACACCAGCTCCAATTCACATTTTCTTTTAACTTAAGTATTAGGCCAGCTATCAGTTTAAGGAAAATAAATATTTATGTTTTAAGTCTACAAACATGCTAACCCTTTTAATCTAATCTAAATGCAATAATAATATTCCACAGAGAAGTTTGACTTCTTATTTCTTAGGAATCAAAGGGTGAAATACATATGTATATTATATATATAAATATAATTTTTACACATTAAAAAAAAGAAAAGTGCTTACCTCTGCACACAGCCCAAGCATCTTCATCACATTTCTCACCACTTGCTCTCAATTCAAAAAAATTATATTCTTCAAGGCTAAGAAGACCATTTCCATCTAAATCAATTACTTCAAATATATCTGATAAAGCTGACCTAAAATGATCAAAATAGCAAATTATTTTTTGTCTCTAAGACAGCTAAACTGAAGAAAATCTCTATGAGGATAACTTCCAAAACAAAGTAATATCATAGATTAAACAACTTTTATGGACAATAAAGTTAATATTACCCATATACAATTTTGACTCAGTTCCACATTATGTGAGAAAAACAGGCTTCCTAGGCAACCACTGAATGAACATAGTGGAACTCAATTCACAGTAACTCCCCTTCTTCCTTTAACATTTCTCCAACTTATTTTCTTCATTCTTCCCACCTGCAGCCACATCCTATTGTGTATATGTAAGGCACAGGAGAACTAAGTTTTGGATTTTGTATTTGACAGTTGTCAAAATTAGGACAGCAATAGTAGGATCTATTTCTTTTCTTTTCTTTTTTTTTCTTTGACAGAGTGGACAGTGAGAGAGAGAGAGACAGAGAGAAAGGTCTTCCTTTGCCGTTGGTTCACCCTCCAATGGCCGCCGCGGCCGGCGCGCTGCGGCCGGTGCGCTGTGGCCGGTGCGCTGCGGCCGGTGCACTGCGCTGATCCGAAGGCAGGAGCCAGGTGCTTCCTCCTGGTCTCCCATGGGGTGCAGGGCCCAGGCACTTGGGCCATCCTCCACTGCACTCCCTGGCCACAGCAGAGAGCTGGCCTGGAAGAGGGGCAACCGGGACAGAATCCGGCGCCCTGACCGGGACTAGAACCCGGTGTGCCGGAGCTACTAGGCGGGATCTATTTCTAAGGGCAGCATATAATGAGGGGAAATTAGCAGAAGTGAGACTAAAGTGGATTTGCCAAATATATGAAACCCAGACATGAATGATAATTCTAGACCTATGAATGGAAAGTTACGTTAAAAAAGACTTATTTATTTTATTTGAATGGCAGAGAGAGAGAGAGAGGGAGAGAGAGAGAGAGAGAGAGGAAGGAAGGGAGGGTGGGATGGAGGGAGGAAGGAGAAATAGGGAGAGGCAGAGAAAGGGATCTTCCATTTTCTGGTTCACTCCCCAAATGCCCACTACGGTGAGAGGTGGGCAGATCATGACTTTGATAGTCATGACCCGTAACTTCTCCTGGGTCTCCCATGTGTGTGCAGGGGCCCACACATTTAGGCCATCCTCTGCTGCTTTCCCAGGCACATCAGCAGAGTGCTGGATTGGAAGTAGAACAGCCAGGACTCGGACTGGTGCCCATATGGGATGCCAGCATTGCAGGTGGCGGCTTTATCAACTACGCCACAGTGCTATCTCTGAAGGTCACTGCCAGACACCTAGTGAGTAAGTTGAGTGGAATTTAAGCATGATTTTTTGATGTATGTATACACTGCAGTTAATTTAATGAAGCTGATTAACATACTCATTACCTCACATACTTACATTTTTGTGGGGAGAACATTTAAATTCTCCTCTCAGTAATTTTCATGTATGTAGTACACTGCGATTAACTATAGTTACCATGTTGTATGATAGATCTCCTGAACTTATTCTTCCTGTCCGAAATTCTGTGTCTTGTAAACAATCCTTCCCCCTCCATTCCCAGGCCCTTTAACCACCATTCTACTCTCTGCTTCTCTGAGTTTGACATTTTTTTAGATTCCACATTCAGTATTTGTCTTTATGTGCCTGACTTGTTTGACTTAGCATCTCCTCTAGGTTCATCCACATTGTTGTAAGAGTTGGGTTGTAAGGGTTGGATTTGAGTGGGGGCTGGCCAAAGGAAAAGGTGGAAGACAGGTTACTTACATATCCAGTCTAGATGTTGTACTTCTAACCTTAGCAAACAAAACTTACCTAAATTCCTTTGTAAGAAATAATTTTCCTGTTTCATCTCTATATACAAGTAGGGCTTCTTCTGGTACCGGCTTTCTTTCTTTCTTCAGTCTACAGCCAGTTGTGGAAGGAATTAACCAGTAAATTCCAGGTCCTAGTTCACCAGTCCATCCAAACACCTTTTCTCAAAAGAATTAAACAAAACAGAATAGAATAATGATGAGTTTTAATGAATTTTAAATTTTTTTCCTGAAAGACAAGCATTATCAATGACTTTTCAATATTTATCAACCATATTATAGTTCTATCAATCTTTTATAAGCTTCATTTTTTTTTAGCAGTAACCCCAGTACAAGACATTTAGAAGGTGGTTCACTATATAATGTTAAAACAGTTGTCTAAAACTCTAAGGTAAGAAGTTATATCTCTTCTAAATTTTCCCTAATAATCTTCCTGATAATCTTCAAAATCATCTGTGATGCAAGTATGTTCAACAAGAAGCAAAGAGAGCAATTTTAAGATATCTTTTATACAAACATTGCCTTCTGTTAAAAAAAAAATGAAGAATATCCCAGATTACAGTTCCCTAACTTGATTCAAGTAGAAATTCATGAATTATAAATCAGATTTCAATGACACAAAATAAAAATTAAATATATTTTAAAGAGTTCATTAAATCTACTTTCCATGAAGTTGTTTCCTGTCAAGTGTTGCACATTTAAAATGAGTGCCAGGTTATTTGTATAGAAACAAAGCAAGTGCTATCTTGTACCTCCTGGAAGCTTTCTGGAGCCTAAAGGCTTCCCATAAAAACCAGGGGTCGTCTATGTCAAATACATTAAACCTAAGCATTTTCTAGTTATGATAGCTAAACAGTAATTTGCTCTTCAGCGTGGATGAGCTATTGAATACTGAATCCAAAAATTCCTTTCAAAACTCCAAAGACTAATACTTAAAACAAAGCTGCTCATCCAAATTCTGGGTTTCTTCCTATATCTGTCCTGAAAAGTCAGAGGAACTATCAGAGGTGATTATGTCCCATTTTGATAAAGAAGCAATTCAATATAACTGATGATGATTTTAAAGACCAAATGTCACCAAATCTATTCTTTGGAAATTAGAATCCTTTAGAATGGCCTGATATCCAGGAAGGAGAAAACATTATCTTGCTGCTTTCCATTTGCCTCCCTTATCCACATACAACTTTGAATTATTGTGGATAGAAAATGAAAAGTTTTTCCTGGGCACAAAACTATTCTTAAAGACAATAAGTGTTAAACTTAGAAATGTCAATAAAAAACCTTTATAAATACGACATGAAGCCTACATAGTAAAGAGATAAGCAGAAATCCCTTCAAACTTTATTACTGCCTAGCTATGTACTAACTTTTTTACACATTCAATCTCATAAGAAAGTAATTTTACCCAAAACAAAATGGGAAAAGCTATTGTTTTGGACAATGTTTTATTTTTAACTTAACTTTGTAATAAGTTCTGGAGAAGAGTTTAGTCAAAACATTCCCTTCTGCCTTTTATTTGTTTCTTGCCTGTAACTATTCTTGTCTTTTAGGAAGCCTACAATAAAGACTTCTATATAACATTCCATCAGGGAAATGTTTGTCTGGCATAGGTTCTATATAAAGATTAAATATGATATTGCAGTAAGCCCTTGAATAGTATTATTTCTGTTGTTGTATAGCAGATGTATTTTGTAGTCCTCATAAAATAAATAGCCACATTTATGTATCTGACTCACATATTCGGGCTCTGAGTAAATACATAATTAGAGCAGATCCGAACAATCCCAAGGGCACCATATAAAAACATTTAAAAGCATTGCTTCATATCAATGTATTTTTGAACTCTATAATATGAGTCAAGCCTGAGAATAGTAATCTTGAAGGTTTTCTATTTTGCAGTAGTAAGTCTAAGTATGAAAAACATGTACAGCAACTTTTCTGAAGTTTTGAATTATTTGCATTTAAGGGGGAAAGAGCTTTCATCAGTCGTATTTGTGAGTCTAACAACAATAACTAAATGTTCATTTGTGAGGAATGACGGCATTTAGAGGAGAGGAAAATGCAATGTCATGTAACTTTGAAGTTAAGAATCTAAGACTACTAATTAATCTTCGACTCTTAATATATCTCAGTGGCCGGCACTAGGCTAATCCTCCGCCTGTGGCGCCAGCATCCAGGGTTCTAGTCCCAAGTTGGGGCGCCAGATTCTGTTCCGGTTGCTCCTCTTCCAGTGCAGCTCTCTGCTGTGGCCCTGGAAGGCAGTGGAGGATGGCCCAAGTGCTTGGGCTCTGCATCTGCATGGGAGACCAGGAGGAGGCACCTGGCTCCTGGCTTCAGATAGGCGCGGTGTGCTGGCCGTGGCGGCCATTTGGGGGGGTGAACCAATGGAAGGAAGACCTTTCTATCTGTCTCTCTCCTCTCTCTCGCTGTCTAACTCTGCCTGTCAAATATATATATATATATATTATATATATTTCAGTAAGAAAGAGTCCTTCATAAGTAATAAAACATATATAATCTCTGTCTTTAAGTACTATTTATATCTTAATTGAAAGGGAGAATATGAGAAATTAAAAAATAAATACAGAAAAACTATTATTTTCTCCAAAATTGAGTTTGTCTTGTATTTCAAAATTAAATATTAGAAAATAAATGTACATACTTCTCTATTTTGTAGTTCAGTAAAACACAAGGGCTGTAGATTTGCTTGACTCTCATTTTCCACTAGAATATATAAAGCTGTATCAACCGATAACCAAGGAGATGGTTTTCCTATAAACAAAACAACCCAAATGACTTAAAGCAAGCAATCACTATTTATTTTTTCCTAACTAAAAAAAAGAAGTTAGTGGCTTTTTCTCTACTTGAATCTTGATGTGAATGAGATGGGAGAGGGAGTGGGAGATGAGAGGGTTGTGGGTGGTAGGGAAGTTATGGGGGGAAAAAGCCACTGTAATCCAAAAGCTGTACTTTGGAAATTTATATTTATTAAATAAATTTAAAAAACCAAAATAATAATAATTCCCAAGAAAAAATAAAAAATAAAAGAAATGCATACCCCATTTTAATAGCTTAGGATTTGTAATAACCCATATACCTACATAGAGTGACCGCATGGGAAACATTCGCTACAAAGTCACTTTCTAGAAATCATAACTTTTCTTGAAATCATCAATAGGTGAGGCTGCAGGTCAATTGAAAATTTTAGGAAAATCAGACCCTTTCTGGTGGAGATGGGATGTAGGTGTCAGCTTATTTGTGGTAGACACAGGAGGAAGAGATATCAGACAGCATTTACGTACTCACAATTCCTATCTCTAATAAAAACTTTCCCCTGCATGTTAGACCTATATAACCAACTATTTGGCATTTGCATATGAGGATTACAAGAAAGAAAATACAAAATTGCAACCACAAACAAAAAAATATATCATGCTCTAACTGATGAAAATCAAAGAAAAAGAAAAAACCTTGACTATTGGTCATGGAGGGAAAAGTCCAAGTCCTCATCACAGCAAACAAATCTCTACCCAGTTTTGTCCTTGTTCCTCCCAGTCTTACTCTCCTACTGCTCTCTCCTTGTCTGCTCAAATGTAGACACACCAGCCTCTGCTACACTCTCCACACCAGCACCTGCACCTGGAATGCCCTGCCACCTCTTCCACTCTTCAGTCATTCTTTACACATCTCCTACACTCAAAAAGCTTACTCCTTCCTTGCCTTCTGTGGAAGACAGCAAGAATGAGATGCTATTTGCAATATGATACTGCAGTTCCTCCATCAAGAGATCAAGTCTATTACTCCATTCTATTAACCTAGACTTGCCTTGTGGCAGGCTAAGAACAACAGAATATAACAGAAATCACACTGAGCCAATTCTAAGTCCAGACCTATCGCCCTTTTGCTTTTTTTCCTCAGATCCCCGTTACATCATGAGGACAAATCTAGATTAGTTTTCTAGAGGATGAGAGATTACATGAGGCAGTCTAGTTGTCCCAGCTAAGACCCTGTGCATACAGACTCATGAGTAAATACATGTTTAACTGTTTTGAGTCACTGACTTTTAGGGTAGCTATGCAACAGCTGGTAACCAATACCCTTTCAAAGCCTGTTCATGTGTCAGGTTCTTAATGAAGCACACACCAATGATTCCATTTTTAATTTTAGGGGCAACACATATTCCTTCATTTTTCATAGTCCCTTCTTTACTTTCTGTTTTCTCCACAGAGCTTATCATTTTCTAACATATCATGTCATTTTCTATTTATTATGTTTATTGTTTCTCACGCTAAAATGTAAATTTAAATGTAAATTTTACAAAGATTTTTGTCTTTTTGGTGCTCTGATGTATCTTAAATACCCAAACTGATGCTTAGTATGTAAGACCCTCAATAAATATTTGATAAATAAAGGAATCTTACTCATGGGAACAGAAAATAAGCAACTACACTGCATTGTCACGACTATCTTCATTCTTTTCTCTGAAAAAATTACTACTGCAACTGTCATTTAAAAGTACCAACTCATGGAAAGCCAAGACACTGTGGCAAAAAATGACCTACATGAAGGATCTCTGTGAGAGCCCAGTGGAAAGAAGGGGCCATCAGAGAAGGATGTACTTTTCTCTGAAGGGAGGAGAGCACTTCCAATTTGCTTGTAGGCCTGTCTAAATGCTGATGGAGTTTGTGGACTCAAAAAGCTGCCATAGCCTTGGCAGCTCATGACAAGAGCCTCGGGTGATCACTGACATCATAAATAAGAGTGTCAATTGTTAAATCAACAACAGGAGTCACTGTGCACTTGCTCCCCATGTAGGACCTCTGTCCTTAATGTGTTGTGCTATGAGAATCAATGTTAAAAATTGTCTTCAAACAGTACTTTCTACTTTGTGTGTCTGTGTGGGTGCAAACTATTGAAATTTTTACTTAGTACAGAGTTGATCTTCTGTATATAGACAATTAAAAATGAATCTTACTGAAGAATGGGGTGGGAGAGGGAGTAGGAGGTGGGACAGTTTGAGGGTGGGAGGGCGGAAATGGGAGTAAGAACGGCTATATTCCAAAAGTTGTACCTATGAAATTTATATTTATTAAATAAAAGCTTTAAAAAAAAAAAGTACCAACTGCCAAATAATGTGTATACTGGGACTGGCACTGTGGCTTGACAAGTAAAGCCACTGCCTGCAGTGCCGGCATCTCATATGGGTGCTGGTTCAAGTCCTGGCTACTCTATTTCCCATCCAGCTCTAGGCTATGCCTTGGGAAAGCAATGGAAGATGGCCCAAGTCCTTGGGACCCTGCACTGATGTAGGAGACCCAGAGGAGGCTCCTGGCTTCAGATCGGCCCAGCTCTGGCCGTTGCAGCCATTTGGGCAGTGAACCAGCGGATGGAAGACCTCTCTCTCTGATTCTCCCTCTTTCTGTGGAGCTCTGCATTTCAAATAAATAAATAAATAAATTATTGTGTATACCACAAAATAGGCAGTGGAAACTTTCAAAGTCTCTACTTCCAGAGAAAAAAGAATGGATGTGGGAAGAATTCTCTAGTCAGAAAATGTTTCTTTGTAAACAGATTTTTAAAAAAGACTGATTTAGACAATCAACATTAAAAGATAACTAGGGAGAGGCTGGCATCCCATATCAGAAAACTGGCTGCTCCCCTTCAAATCAAGTTCCCTGTTAATGTACCTGGGAAAGCAGTAAAAATGGCCCAAGACTTAGGTCCCCACCACCCACGTGAAGACCCAGACAGAATTCCTGCTTCTGGCCCAACCCCAGGTGTTTCAGTCATTTGGGAAGTGAAACAGTGGATAGAAAATCTCTTCCCCTCTCTCACTCTGCCTTTCAAATAAATAAATGTATCTTTTAAAAACAGATATTCGAGGAAAGCACACTTAGAGACAAGCTTGACTGATTTAAGAAGTACAAGATAGGGGTCAGCATTGTGAACTAGCAGGTAAAGCTGACGCATGTAAGCATTGTGGAGTAGCAGGTAAAACTGACACATGCAATGTTAGCATCCCATATGGACACTGGTTCTCGGCCTGGCTGCTCCACTTCTGATCCAGCTCACTGCTAATGGCCTGGGAAAAGCAGTGGAAGAAGGTGCAAGTGTTTGAGCCCCTTCCACATACTGATCTGTATGATCTGTATGAAGTTCCTGGCTCTTAGCTTCAGTCTGGCCCAAAACTGGCCATTGCAACCATCTGGGGAATCAACCCACAGTGAAAAGAAGATCTCTCTCGGCAACTCTAAGATCTCCAAAATAAATAAGTAAATCTTTTTTTTTTTTTTAAAGTACAAGATAACCATTTTAGACAGTAGGAAATTTTACTTTTTAATCTAGAAAACAATTTTACCATGAAATAAAAAATTATTAATATGGTCTAAGACACAGAAATAGGACTTTGAAGGTTCTAAAAAAAAAAAGACTTGCACTTTCTTATCTCAAATTATATCCATATAGAACTTTTCTTAGACATATTGATTAAAAAAATTGACAACAGAAATAGCTTAGATTAGAAAGTAAAAAGTTAATTAATTCTATACCATAAGGAAACAAGGCAACATTTTTCTCACATTTTTAATAAAATGTTTTAAACACATACACAAAGTAGTTTGCTTGCTTTTTATATGATAAATAGTTAATGTACACACTAACTCTTGAAATGTAATTTTTCTTCCTAGGCAGATTATTTTCTTCATTAATTAAGACTATAAAATATTTGCAAAATATTTCTAAACGGGATACATACAATTTAATGTTTTTAAAATAAACAGAAGAGTTAAACTTGCCTTCGACCTGACTCAGTTTTAATGGCTTAATTGTTAGATAAACCATGGACTTCTCAGGTATGTGCATCCTGTATTGATGACTAATGATTTTACCATCTTCTTCTAAGAAGAAGCAACCTTTTGATTGTACACATTGCCAATCCTGAAAAGGAAAAAAAAATTTTTTTATTAAAAGCTTATTAAATGTCTCCTCAATACTATGTATATAGTACACTAAATAATGTAAAAAAAATTTGTCAAACATAATCACAGCCCTGCAGAAATGTCAGCATACTTAGGGCATTTGGCCCAGGTCCCATATCAGAATGCCTGAGTTCAATTCTCAGCTCTGGTTCCTGATTCCAGCTTCCTGCCAATAAAGACCCTGTGAGGCAGATGTGATGACTCAAATAACTGGGTTCTTGCCTCCCACAGGGAAGACCTAGATTGAGTTTCTGACTCCTGGTTTTGGCCTGGCTCAATCTTGACTGTTGCAGGCATTTGGGGAGTGAACCAGAGGAGGATAAGGACTCTCTCTGTCTCTCTGCCTCTCAAATAAATAGAAAAAAAATTAAAGATAATAAATACAAAATTGACATGGTACAATTCAATTATATTTGGTAGTAAAAGGTAGTAGGGATATAAAGGAATTATATATATGCAAAAAATACAATAACCTCATTTCCTAAAATCATACCTAGTACATTGTAGATGCTAAATGTTTAGTGTCAAAATGGTTAGTAGAGGCTTTTATGTCAACTGAGTGGCCAATGAATGAACTATGCCATGAAGGATTGACAGCATTTATTTGATGAGAAGTTAGGAAAAGACATAATGGAGAAAAGAAATAAGAAAATTAAATTCTTGAAAGGAGAGAAGTACTGAGGCAAAGTAATAAAATAAATACCCTGAAGTAATAATCTGGGAGACAGTAATGCTGGTACCCTAAGAATGATGGCATATTAAGGACCACTAAAACAAATATATTGAAAGAAAAAGTGATAGGACCCTGTATTGCTGGATAAAGCATCTAACAACCAAAAGAACTGTTACAAGTCTAGGTAACTAGAAGAATACTCAATAAAAATTTCATCTATAAAAAAATGCTGATACATAAAAACTACCAGTTTTGAGAAAGACCATTCTACATTGGATCTTCCATGTATCTCTTGTACCAGCCAAATCCATTCTCACAATCTGAATTAATGTCTATATGGGATATCATGACTAGCACCAAATAAAATCTGAAAATGGCATCCAGGACAGAAAATAAAGAATTCTTACTGAAATTATGAGAAAGTGGGCCATCACATAGATGTGTACACCAATGCTTTTTATCATTAGTAGGTTTGCCTATCTGTAATACAAGACATGTATCTGTTCTATTCCTGACTTCCAAGAATAGAATGAGGCTTTGAAGTACCTTTATGAAGGAAGATTTTGAAAACTTTCCATAAGCATAGTTAAATAATTAATTTCAAAAATTTAATAATAATTATTGAAAATTTACACTATAACAACATCACAAATATTTTTAATCTATTAGAGAAATATTTACTATGGTACTGAAAAGGGAAGACCAAAAATAATTTATAAAGGTATTTCTAGCTCATCCTTTAAAACAGGTTAAATTATATTAACATATTTTCATAATATATTTCATAATAATTTTAATATTTTTATTATTTAAATACATTTAAAGTAAAAATTTTTTAAATAGACAAAAATCCCTATAATTTCACCCATTCTACTTTGAATTTTATGTAATCCTTTCTAATACTGACCACATAAAAAAACCTAGGTTTTACATTTTAATAAAAGTCACTTTAAGTTCTGCTTCTAGATCTAATCTTATATGCAAGATTTTTTAAAAGATTGATTTATTTATTATTTGAAAGGCAGAGTTCCAGAGAGACAGAGGCAGACAGAGAGGGGTGGTGTTGGTATTCCATCCGCTGGTTCACTCCTCAAATGGCCATAATAGCTGTAGCTGAGCTGATCTGAAGTCAGGAGCCAGAAGCTTCTTCTGGGTCTCCCACGTGGGTGCAGGGATCTAAGCACTTGGGCCATCTTCCACTGCTTTCCCAGGCAAAACAGAGAGCTGGATTGGAAGTGGAGCAGCCAGGGCTTGAACCGGTGCCCATATGGGGTGCTGGCACTGCAGGCGGCAACTTTAACTGCTACGCCACAGCACCAGCCCTGCAAGATATTTTGCCATTGAAAAAAGAATAACATTGGAGGACTCAAGACTTTCAGATTTCAAAACTTACTATAAAACTATAGTAATCAAAACATTGTGAAACTGACATAAAGATATAGAGATCAATAGACTAGAATAGATAGTTCAGAAATAAACTCTTAAATATTCTGTATAGCAAATGATTTTCAACTAAAATGCCAAGACCATTCAATGAGGTAAAGGACGGTCTTCTCAACAAATGAAGCTGGGAAAACTGAATATCTACATTCAAAAGAAAGATTTTGGACATTTACACCTTAAACAAGAATTACATCAAAGTGGACTAAAGATCTAAATGTAAATGCTAAAAGTATGAAACAGAGATTAAAACAAAGGGGGAAAGCTGACATTGGACTTGGCAATGATTATGTCACCAAAAGTGCAGGTAACAAAAACATGAATGGGACTTCATCAAAATTAAAAACTTTTGTGAATCAAAGGATACTATCAACAGAGTTAAAAGGCAAATTCATGGAATGAGAGAAACTGCTTGCAAATCACATATCTAAAATGGGCTTAACATCCAGAATATATAAAGAACTCCTACAACTCAACAATAACAAATAGACAAATTTTAAAATGGGCTTGGAGCAGATATTTAGCCTAGTGGTCAATATACTCCTGTCTCACATCTGAGTACTTGAGTTCAATTCCTGGCTCTGGCTCCTGATTCGTTTCCCACCAATGCAGATCCTGTAAGTAATGGAGTTCCTGCCACTGACGAGGAAGACCTAGATTACATTCCCTGCTCCTGGTTCTGGCCCTGGTGTGAGCATTTGGGAATGAACCAGCAAACTGGAGCTCTCTCTTTCTCTGCCTTTCAAATGAACTGAATGATCATTTCTTCAAAGAAAATATACAGATGGCCCACTAAGCACATGAAAAGATGTTCGACCATTACTAATCATTAGGGAAAGGGAAATCAGAACTACAATAAGATACCATTTCATATCTTTTAGGATAGCCACTATCAAAATAACAGAAAATAGCAAGCATTGATGAGTATGCACAGAACCTGGAATCATTGCACATTGCTCATAGCAATGTAAAATGGTGAAGCTACTGGAAAAATAGTTGGACAATTCCTCAAAAAAGTTAACACAGAATTCCATAGGATCTACTGATTTTACCTCTGGGTATATACTCAAAAGAGCAGAAAACAGGGACTCAAAATGTGTTTTTACATCAATGTTCATAGCAACATCGCTCACGATAATTGAAAGATAGAAACAATCTAACTGTCCATTAATAAATGAAGAAACAAATAAAATGTGTTACATATATGAATTTTTTTTTTACATTTACCTATCCAGAATGGTAAGGGATACTAGTTTTGAATTACAGAATATCATGGCCAGTGTCTTGGTGTAGTGAGTTAAGCTGCCACCTCCAATGCTGGCATTTCATATGGGTGTGGGTTTGAGTCCCAGCTGCTCCACTTCTGACCCAGCTCCCTGCTAATGTGCCTGGGAAAGCATCAGGAAATGGCCCAACCCCTTGTGTTCCTGCACATGCGTGGGAGACATGGATGAAGCTCCCGGCTCCTGCTTCAGCCTGGACCAGCACTGGCTGTTTCAGGCATCTGGGGAGCGAACCAGTGGATGGACAATTCTCTCTTTCTCTCTCACTCTAGAGAGTGAAATGTTGGATAAGAGTGCTCTCTATGTGTGTTTCTGTGTCTTTCTTAACTCTTACTCTCAAATAAACACAAATTTAAAAATATACAATTATTTTCAAATAAATAAATCTTTAAAAAAGAATTAAAGAATACTAAAGATAGAAAGTGTCTAAAAAGTAATTTAGTTGAGACTTCTCTTTTTATTGATGAAAAAGTCTGAAAGTTAAAGGTAGGCATGTCATAGTTCTCACTGATTGCAAAACCAGAGCTAGAACCTAGGTCTCTTTACTTTCTCTCAAGTCTACCAGTTCTATTCTAAGTTCTACCCTATTTAACAGTTATATATCAGCCCCACCATTTTTAAAAGCCAATTTTAGGGGGCCGGCGCCGTGGCTCACTTGGTTAATCCTCCACCTGCAGCGCCGGCATCCCATATGGATGCTGGTTCTAGTCCCAGTTGCTCCTCTTCCAGTCCAGCTCTCTGTTGTGGCCCAGGAAGGCAGTGGAGGATGGCCCAAGTGCTTGGGCCCTGCACTGGCATGGGAGACCAGGAAGAGGCACCTGGCTCCTGGCTTCGGATCAGCGCAGCGAGCTGGCCGCAGCGCACCGGCTGCAGCGGCTATTTGGGGGGTGAACCAACGGAAGGAAGACCTGTCTCTCTGTCTCTCTCTTTCACTGTCTAACTCTGTCAAAAAAAGCACCAATTTTAAAAAGAAGCTCTGTGTTTATAATATTATAATAAAGCATATGTTTTGAAAAGATGTAGAGATTACACATTTTGAATTAAGTTCTCAATAAGTGTAGTTTTCTTCACCTTCCACTTGGTCCTTTGGATGCTGTCTCAAAACTGGAGAGTACTAATTTAGTTTGGATATGAAGATGGTAATATTATTATAAGTAATAATAATAATATATAATATATAATAATATAATATATAGATCATACATTATAATGTATAGATTATACATTATAATGTATATACTATATATTATAATATAATATAACATATAATATTATAATTATAATTATATTATATATTATATATTTTATTATTATAATATTATACTATAATATTATAATACATATTATATATTATTATATATATTATATAGAGATGTTTATATTATATATTATAATATAATATACATTTTAATATATAATATACATTCAAATATAATATGCAATATATAATATATAATGTATTTATATATGTATTATATATTTGTACATAAATTATAAATATATAAAAATATATTTATATATTATATTATATATTATATAATATATTATACATTATAATTACAT